TGTGCTAAAGACATCTTGCTCTCTCCCTTCTGCAAAGCCCAGGCACCCCCTCCACATTGCAGACTCAGACCCGTTTAGCTTTAGTAAGTCAGGTCTGAAACAGAGAACTTAGTCCAAAGAATAATCAAAATATTACTTGTCTAATGATAGCCATAGGTCAAAAACATTCACAGGTGAAAAAATATCTCAAAAATCTAACACCCAAAGCCCACAAGTAGTCACAGGCCCTAAAGGTCCCCAAATTTCACAGAGCCCTGACCCTCCTATCTGTCCTCTTTGTCGAATCTCTTGCAGTAAAATCCCATAGCTTGCAATCCAAACCAGACCTGACTCATACTGACGCTCCCTCCCCTACCCCTTGCATAAATAGAATTTAAAAGGGAGTTTCCAGCATGACCTAGTGGATAGAGTACTCTAAGCAGAAACAAAGACAGTCTCAGCTGTGCTCTAATGGGTAAGTAGAGCTATGCTCTAATGGGTAAGTCATCTAATCTCTGTGAGCTTCAGTGAAGAGGAGTGCTAACATCCTTTTCAATTCTAGTGCCCTATGAATGCTACAAATGTACCTGAAAATCCAGAGATCTGAAACGAATGAGGATTTAAGATATCATGAAAAGTTTTTCAGATTAGGAGCCTAAACTCGGAGATTTGAATTCTAATGTTACCTTAGCCAAGAACTAGCTTTATGACCCAGAAAGTTACCTAAGGGGAACCTATCTTCCACAACAAGAATTAAGAAACCCATCCTGCATATCTTCAGAAATACCGAGAGGGCCAATTAGACATAATGAATGTGAAAGCATTTTGTAAACCATAAAACAGTATCTAAACATACCTTGCTATCATTATTTATTGTCCTCATCAGTAGCAGTAATATTCTCAAACCCTAAGAAGCAATGGCTTAGTGTAAATTATTCAATCTCTCTAGTATTTCATTCTCTTCAACTGAGAAATAAAAAGATAGAATTATATAGTTCTAAATTCTTTCCAACTACAAACTTCTGACTATGAGTCAGAATGGAGGAACATGGCAGGAGATAAATACAAAAATATTCATGTCCTTTGAAAACACAGAACTGCAAAACATACCACAAAGGAACAAGACTAATATTGCCAAGGGGTAGCACTAAATTAGTTACTTTCAATTTATTTGATACTCTTATCAATTATTTGAGTTGAAGACTACTATTTCCATTTTATTTTTAATCTTAATTTTGCAGAAGAGAAACTGAAAGAAATTAACTAGCTTCCCAAGGTCACCATAGCTATGGAATGGTTATGTTAGGGATTGAACTTGGGCAGTTTAATTTCTGCTGTATCCCTAGACACTGTCCTCAACACTTCTACATAGCTTATAGACATGGTTACTGCTCAGGTCTACGGAATTCCAAAACCACCTGTCTCTGTGAGATTCCTTGATGCTTTCCATCTCATAATAGATTTAGAACATATCTGTTATTAGCTGTGGATCTTCTGGATAAGATCCTCATTTCAAGGAGGCTCTCTGTACCCCAGTTGGTTCAAGAGTGTAGGCCTGGTACACATCTCATAGCCAGTTAGTAACTTGGCCCAAGAACAGGTCATTGGGCCAAGTTCAGCTGAACGTACTGAAAATTGTGTGTGCCAGGAAACTAGGTCTCTTTATTGACCAAGTCTTTTAAAGTACCAGATGTTTCACTTGTCTCCCAGAGAAGACACCTACCAAGACCCTCCATTTTGATGACTAGAACAAACCAAGGCCAGATGTTTATTTCAAAAGAAGAAAGACCTCTACAACCAAGAAAACTTTATGAAATATGAGCATTGTTTCTGGAAGTTCAAATCCCATAAGCTTTTCAAGTATATCAACTCTACCATAATATTATTTCCAAATCCACTAAAGAAAAATTCTATTAACCAAAAGTATCATCTGTAGTTTTTATTCGTAGTCTATTGGGTGCCTTAGATTTTGGGTTTTTTTTTTCTTTTTTTGGTGGTGGGGGGGTGTTGGGGGGATAGAAAAGTCAGCATCTGTATTTTCAGAAACAGAAAGAATATAAAACATATAAAAGGCTGGTTACAATATGAAAACAACATGGAAATTTCATGAAATGTTAATTCTTCTAGGAACAGATGTTCAGTGTCACAGCTGGATCAGCCTCTAGTTTCCCCTTCCCAAAAGCCTTGTCAGAGAGGACAGAAGAAAGATAGAGGAGCATACCTCAAGATAGCTTGCTCCTGTTACCTTTCCCGCCTCTCTGAAAGGCCTAAATCGGATTCACCTTTCAAGGTTGGCTTTATGGATGGTGTAATTTCATCCATATCCCCCAAAACCATCTCCCATTTGTTCCAGGATGCCCGAATCCCCTTAATAGAGAACAAAGACTTTCATTTCACAGTAAGAGATAAAAGGCTTAGAATGAAAATGTCTGGATGATGTAAGACCAAGACTAAAACAAATTCATACCACTCTGAAGTGAGGCAGTCAGCCAGCAAGAAAAAGGAAATTGACTGGTATCAGAGGTATTCACAGTCATTGGTAGAGGAAAAAGGTTGCAGAGTAAATAAGTGGCTCCCGAAAGGGTTGGAGGATGTCAGCTCATGGCTTCTGTCCTGGTCTGGTGAATAGGACCTGTTTTGGGTCCCAGCCCCATCCTAGCTGTCCCTTGTCTTGATATAAACAACCAGCTCCACCCAGCTGAATTTGAAATGGGACATTTCTGTGCCAAAACACTTCCTATATGAGGAATCAGAACCCTTTGTTGAACAGATAAATGCCTTGTACTGGTGGCCTTCTAGAGTGGAATGAGTTAGAGGTACATACTTGTAATTCTGTCTTTATTTCTGATATAGCCTCATGACATTAGCCTGACTGATTAGCATGACATTTACCTGACGAAGAGAATCTAAACAGTTTTACTTAGGTGTCTCTAGACACTTCTATAATCCTGAATCAGTTCACTAACTTACCTTCACACTTATTTTTATAGACAAAATATCTATCCCAATCTCTAATGATTCACCTCACGATCTTGAATGTGCTAAGAAAAAATCTCCAGCTAATTGTAAATAGTGCTAAAATAGTGAAAGCAAGCACTAAGTACAAATTGTTGCTGTTCTAATGAGATCACTTGGACACAGGAAGGGGATCATCACACACCGGGTCCTATTGTGGGGTGGGGAGGAGGGGAAGGGATAGCATTAGGAGATATACCTAATGTAAATGACGAGTTAATGGGTGCAGCACACCAACATGGGACACGTATACCTATGTAACAAACCTGCACATTGTGCACATGTACCCTAGAACTTAAAGTATATTTAAAAAAAAAAAAAGACATTGGTTTAACGTTTATACACCAAATCTTACCTTTGTTTAGGATACTTTTCCTGACAATCTTGTTTTGAGTGGGCCTTTATTCATGTCCTTTTTGTTTCAGCAAATAATGGTGTTTAGATCTAAGTTCTATGCCTTGGAGATGTAAACTTTCACCTGTCCTCCCTTTGAAGGTGTAAATTTAGGGTTGCTTAACTAACAACAGTCTAGAGCAATGGAACAGGTAATCAAGAGATTAATAGTTTAAAGGGAGAAGAAAATTATTTTTAAATTGGCAAATAAAAAACTATACAAAGCTAAAAAAAAATCGTTGCTGTTCTAAACCCCATACACAAACTAGCTCATTCATTCCTCAAAATAACTCTACAACAAGGTAGGTACAATGATTAGCCACATCTGCATTTGCACATGAGAAAATTAAGGCACAGAAAGACTGAGTAACTTGACTGAGTTCACACAGACAGCAAGTGGCAGGGCCAGGACATAAGTTGGGCCTTCTGACTTGAGTCTTGTTCCTAGCCACTATATTACACCACAATGAGCTATTCAGACAACTGGAAATCACTTGAGTCGTTTCTTATAAGAAACCAAGAGGACTCATTCAATCATCCTGATTGAAAATCATTGACAGACCTGAGGGACGAATTGTTTGCTGTGTTAATAATTACCTACTTGCAAATCTGAAAAAGAAAAATCTTTTCTTCAACAAAACTCAAAAACTGAATTTGACAAAAAAATGGCTTTCCAGTTGGAGACAGGTCATTTAGCAGTGCCACTGGGATATTTACCCCCAATCTGATTCCTGCTTAAAACAGTTTTCCCGGCTGGACGCCATGGCTCACACCTGTAATCTCGACATTTTGGGAGGCTGAGCCAGGCAGATCACCTGAGGCCTGGAGTTCGAGACCAGCCTGGCCAACATGGTGAAACCCCATCTCTACCAAAATTACCAAAAAAATTAGCCAGGCGTGCTGGTGGGCACCTGTAATCCCAGCTACTCAGGTGGCTGAGGCAGGAGAATCGCTTGAACCTGGGAGGCAGAGGTTGCAGTGAGCCAAGATTGCATCAGTGCACCGCAACCTGGGCAACAGAACGAGATTCCGTCTCAAAAACAAAAACAAAACAAAACAAAAAAAACAAAAAAAAAAACAGTTTTCCTGTATTTCCCAAAATAGAAATATTTTCAATAAATCATTGATTCCACTCCCAATCTACTTATTTCCCATGCAAAAGACTCAAGGTAATATCTACCACAAGCAAGATAAAGTCATTTCAGATACTGCTTAAGTTACAGAGTATAGAAATTATCTCTGGAGAACTATATTTTGTTACACATGCTAAACAACAGGAGGTCACTAGGGCTTATCTGAAATAAGACAGTGGAACTCAATTAATCTATTCCCAAATGACTAATGCAATGCTCACATTTTTTGGACAATTGCTATTAAGCAATGCAATTGTCCTTATGAATTAAAGAAACTCTATGTTACTTCCTGTCTAAAAGGATTAATGGTTTACTACTAGTTACCAGTTGATGTGGTGCTTAAGGTTCCTCAGGGCTAATGACCTGGTAGGGCTTACAGTACTATTCCAGGCCAATCATGGCACAGTCATCTCCTTCAAGAAAGTTTCTAACCAATAAGCAGAAGCCTAACATTCTGGGCTGAAAGCTCAGTGCCCCATATATTCCTGGGTGACTCTGAAGCAGGTTACGTTTCCTCGGAAGAAGGCTCCTTGGTGGTAAGTTGAACATTTCTGGGCAGGGTAAAAATAATACTTAATATTGTGTTATAAAATAGATTCTGATGAGTAGGTGAGGGTGTCAAGCACTATGAAGAGAAGTGTTTTCTAAAAACTAAAAAGATAATAGCTTCATTTACAATTTCCCCGGGAAAGGATACTTGAGAAATGAAGTTGAGGGTTTTTTTAATGCAAATACACAGCTTTAATAATTGCATGAGAGAGACAAGTTTTTATTTATATTTATCTCATGTTTCTAGAACTTCCCTTGAAAAGCTGAATTTTAAGATATAAATAAGGAAATATAATTCTAAAGAAAGTGTTTTAAGACAGGCCAGTACTATGAAATTGTGAAAATTATTGTGAAGTCTATTCATCTCACAGTCAAATATAAACCTCTCAATTATTGAGGACATTTCATTAAAATAAGTCAGTAGAGCATGATTATTTTACCTAAATATAACAGAGGACTTTTTTAAGGTATATTACTTATTTCTTATAGATATATGACTTATTTCTATATTCATATTTTTAAGGTTTCATGTTAGTATTCGCAAAACAAACATTTGTATGAGCAAACGAAACATTTGGATCTTGTAAAAGATCCAAGAATTCACAGAGACATCATCTTGATGGGATGTATTTTTTAAATGCATATTCTAAAACATAATTTTTTAATTGTTGTATAGGTAGCAAAATTTGGAACCAATTTATTAGTTGAACATGTACAGATTTTTATAAACTAGCAAGAATATATTTTTTAGAAATTTTGTCTTTCGTTTTACATGTCATATAGTGTATATTCCTATCAATCAAAATACTTTGCAGTTTCAGTATTTGGTACTGTCAGTGAACGATGTTTTAGGCTAAGAACATTCTCATCAGGTCTTACTGTATTCAATAGGTAAAACTGCATCTGTCCTAAAGTCATAGTGAACTCCAGTGCACTGCATCCAAGCAAATACTACAAACACAGGTAACATTTTAATGACTGCATTGGAAATTCTGTTTGCTGGAACAGTTTTGCAGTTATTTATTATCGGATTTAATTACTCACATGACTAAGGTTCCTGGACAGATAAATTTTAGTGAAATGAGTTTGAAATTGTATGTCTTGTAAAATAAAACTGTTCCCTTATATCCCACCCTTACCTAAATATATTTGTATTACTTGAAACAAGTTTAATTTTCTTTTTCAATGACAGCTTTGAAGAACATCCTGAAGATTATATAGGAGACAATATATCAAGAATCTATTTATTGAATGGTCTAGAACAAAAGCCAGGAGCTCCCTAATGGAAACACATTAGTGTTTATTTTGATGAAGAAATCTATAGATTTTTTAACACAACCATAAAGTAGATAGCTCAGTAAAAAATCAATTTTGGAAGATGTCACTGAACAACTCTTCCAACATATTTCTGGATTCAGTGCCCAGTAATACCAATCGCTTTCAAGTTAATGTCATAAATGAGAACCATGAGAGCAGTGCAGCGGCAAATGACAACACTGACCCACCACATTATGAAGAAACCTCTTTTGGGGATGAGGCTCAGAAAAGACTCAGAATCAGCTTTAGGCCTGGGAATCAGGAGTGCTATGACAATTTCCTCCAAAGTGGAGAAACTGCTAAAACAGATGCCAGTTTTCATGCTTATGATTCTCACACAAACACATACTACTTACAAACTTTTGGCCACAACACCATGGATGCCGTTCCCAAGATAGAGTACTATCGCAACACCGGCAGCATCAGTGGACCCAAGGTCAACCGACCCAGCCTGCTTGAGATTCATGAGCAACTCGCAAAGGTAAGCTTGAAGGACACAGGCAAGTGTCCTCCCTTATTCATAACTTCAGGTCATTTCCTTCTCTTTCATTACACTATGAATGAATGTGAAACAGTCAAATGGAGAGGTCTATTCCAAACACTATCCATCTTACTTACAAAACTGTCTCTAGTTCCCAGTAAACAGAAAATACACAAAAAACTGTTTCACAGATTTTTTTTCCTTGGATTTTTTTTTTTTTTTTTTTTTTTCTTGAGACAAAGTCTTGCTCTGTTACCCAGCCTGAAGTGTGGTGGACACTGCAGCTTTGAACTCCTGGGCTCAAGCAATCCTCCCACCTCAACCTCCTGAGCAGCTGGGACTACAGGCATGCACCACCACACCTGACTGACTTTTTTATTTTTTATAGAGACACAGTCTTGCAGTGTTGCTCACGCTGGTCTCGAACTCCTAACTTCAAGGGATCCTCCCACCTCAGCCTCCCAAAGAGCTGAGATTACAGGCATGATCCACTGTGCCCAGCTCCACAAATGTTTTCTGACTTAGGATAGAGAACTAAAGAATTAACTCTAAACGTTAGGCAATATGTTGTACCTTGTTTATGATGATAGCCTACTCAATTTACATTTGGTTAAATATGTCAAACTGAATATCAAGCTGGTTTCACGTCAGTATTAATGTCTCTATGTCAATCGTATAAAAAGCAAAACATTTGTGCTTGCTGTAGTTAATACTGTGGGTGCCAGCCTTTAGTGCATAGGGGTAATTTTATATTCTTTAAAGAGAGGGCAGAGATTTATAAGATTCAGCATTTTATCCCTTCCTCTTTAAAACTTTGCCTGAGGCTCCTGAATGTGCTTATAAAAATAACTAAATTAAATTTAAGTACAGAAGCAGCAGAAGTGGCTAAACTTTTCATTATTTAAGAAATACAGCCAAGGTTCCCAAGTGTGTTAGAAGTATGACGCAGCACTTTTTCTAATCTTTTTTTTTTTTTTTTTTTTGAGACAAAGTTTCTCTTTTGTTGCCCAGTCTGGAGTGCAATGGTACAATCTCGGCTCACCGCAACCTCCGCCTCCCAGGTTCAAGCGATTCTCCTGCCTCAGCCTCCCGAGTAGCTGGGATTACAGGCATGCACTACCACACCCAGCTAATTTTTTTGTATTTTTAGTAGAGACAGGGTTTCTCCATGTTGGTCAGGCTGGTCTCGAACTCCCGACCTCAGGTGATCAGCCCACCTCAGCCTCCCAAAGTGCTGAGATTACAGGCATGAGCCACCACACCCAGCCTCCAACCTTATAACTTAGTAGATTTCTTCTTCCATAACTTTCTCCAAAATATACTGATCAACTTTATCTTCCTGCTCTTCCAGACCAGTTTGGAATAAACATCATTCTTTATGAAATATAATTACCTGCTAAAAAGAATGATTAGATGTCACATATTCAAATGAGTTTACTCTTGCCCAGGTTTTGAGGAGAGAGAAGAAAATGATTGAAACAGTTCCTTTTGTGTGCATTCATCCATTCATTCCTTCAATATTTTTTTAAATGGTCATCCACTCCAGAAAGTCTAGGAATACTACTCTTAGGAAAGATGCTAATAAAGGGGAAAATCTTTCTTTAGTTTCTGCTCACCTTTCCTTCCTCAAGAAAATCCAACTCTAAAATGTATTTGCCTTGGCTGCTATGGTACCTGACTCTGGGTCCTACCACCAGAGACTGAGTGACTTCCTGAGGAGGAGTTCATGTTTTTAATTTTGTTTCCTTATCCCCTTTCCCCACCAAACCTTGCTAGTCCTGTGTACTAAATAGGCAACAGTCTGCCAAATGGCTGGTTTCCTTATAGGCCTAAGATTTAGATTTTATCTGGCATATTTGATGCTTTAATCAAAAGAAGTTAGCAATGCAACAATTTCAGACAACATGGTAGCTCCATGAAGATTTTTGAGAAGGGAGGAAATCTGAACTCTTGAAATCCAGCTGAGAGGTCACTGTCCTTTTCTGTGTCAGGAAAGGAAAGGAAAATGGCAGAGAGCAAAAGGAGAAGAAAAATGAAAAGAAGGTTGACAGAAGCAGCCACCAGGAGTTTCCAAGACATGGAAAAGGCAGAAAGAAATTTAGGGCATCGTAAAAAGATATTTCAATTGTTTCTGAAGAATTAAAATGAATCAAAGTTCTTTTTTAAAAAGACCTGAAATTCTATGCCACAATACTCTACCACATCACGCATGATAATTTTTAAAGCTGCCTCCTTTTTTAAAGTTAGTATCACAATTTAAATATTCTCATTCACCTACTTCCCCAATTTACAACAAAAGAAAATAGAATTCTAACTTCATTAAAAAAGAAATGGAATAAATTCACATTGTTCTTAGGACTGACATTCCAAACAGAGAAAAGTAGCTTATTTATAATTGCAAAAGCCATGGCTTATGTAAATCTTTCAATAAAGGGAGAAAAGCTTTAAAGGATCAGGAGTTTAGAAAGCCATCTAAAGACCGGGTGTGGTGGCTCATTCCTGTAATCCCAGCACTTTCAGAGGCTGTGGCTGGTGGACTACCTGAGGTCAAAAATTCAAGACCAGCCATAACCAACTGGTGAAATCTCTTCTCTACTTAAAAAAAAAAAAAAAAAAAAAAAAAAAAATTAGCCAGGCATGGTGGCACATGCTTGTAATCCTGGCTACCTGGGAGGCTGAGGCAGGAGAATTGCTTGAACCTGGGAGGCAGAGGTTGTGGTGAGCTGAGATCATGCCACTGTACTCCAGCCTGGGCAATGAGAGTGAAACTCTGACTCAAAAAAAAAAAAAAAAAAAAAAAAAAAGAAAGAAAGAAAAAGAAAGCCATCTGAATGACCACACAGTAGGAATGTTATAGCTGCATTAGATAAACGTAATAGCTGTTTGGAATATTGCATCACTTTTGAAGAGATAAAATGAAACTAAAGACTGAACTTTGACTTAAAGCATTTTTTTTCTTAGACACAAAGGAATGGCAAATTAAAATATTAAAAATTAGGCCTAAGCTCTGAATAAGCATTTTGAACACGTATAGTAATAAGCTACTCTTTGTATAGACTTGATGCCCAGTTATCTAGGAAACTTCATCTTGATTAAATCATGAAGAAGTATCCACATAGCCAAATTGGGAGTAGAATTCAGATTCAACCACACAATCTACAATGTGCACATTTCTGCAGCCAGACCCATTCTAGTGTTGCTGAAATTGTACAGCCTAGCCTGCCTCTCCATGTGTAGCAGCCTGGGCCTTCTTCAGTTTATCTCTTTATTGTTTGCTAGTGAATTTGACTCAGCTACTCCCTTACTTTTCCCCCCTCAAATATAAGAAGTGAAAACCTGCAATGTGCTGTAGCTATGCTGCCACCTCCTTGTGGCCCTTGACATTTTTATGGTAGTTCCTCAAATCACAACTAGAAATCATCAACAGAACAAACATTATATGATTATACTCAGACCCTTCACAGATTTTGTATGCAAAAAATATAAATAATAGTGTTTACTTAAATCATTTAAAAGTAGAAGGTAATTGACAAGGTATAAGCTAGACAATACTTTTTGTAATTGTGATTTATAATGCTTTTAACAGTTATAATAGCAATAGCACATTCATACTGAATGGCAGAACATGGTTAGTCAGAAAACCAATTGGATTTTGTGTAAATTTTGGTTATAATTTCCAAGTGAGAAAAATTATTAGAATAATGACAAAATTATTCTAATAGGTAAAATAAAAAACAGGTTTGAAAGACATTACTTTAAGGCTCTATCTTAAATGAAACTATAGGTGTGATAGATATTGACAGAATTTGTAATCCCAATGACTTGAGATCATAATTGAATAAATTATTTTTATTATCTATGTTAGTAAAGAGCTAAACACCTATACTGGTGACCATGAATTATAAATTTCTGAAAACTCTACTTAAGAGCAGGAGAAACAACTATCCTTTGCTTGCTCCGTACAAGCTCTTGTACGAGCTACATAACTTCTACTTGTCTTGCAAGATGCTTGTGAACATTGGTTTCTATGAGTATAAAGTCTACCCTTACAATGGGTAAGAATTCAATAAATGATCATTGATGATAGTGGTAATTTTTATACTAGCTTTTTATTTTAAAAGTAAAATAAATACTAATAAAATATTTATCAAGTACTAAAAAATATGTAATAAAATGTTTCTCATCTAACATCAATATTCAGTTATTCTCTCTAGGATAATCATTACTGACAGTTTCTTGTAAATCCTTCCAGAAATGTTCTAGGCTTATATAAACATACACATATATCTATAAATATCTGGATTCCTATCAATCTAACTTTTTTACATTTATTTTCAAACATGTACTAGAACGTATTTTCCACATTGTTCTGCACTCTGCAGTTTTTACCAAACATACCCTGGAGATCTTTCCATATTAAAGCATATGTAATAATTATTTGGCATCTGGCAAAGATTAATCTAGTGCCTTTACTTTGTAAAGAGAATTTTGCTTTCAGTATCCAGCCTAATTCCTGTGGCCAACTTTTCATACAATTCCTTACTACAGGACTAACCAAAATGGAACTCCTTTGCAACCTTACTAACCACCATTGTTGTTAGCATTTCAGAAAAATATAATTTAAAAAGATTCAAGGAAATACAGAGACTTTCTATCAAAGCCATGTGTCATTGAAATAAGCTATCTATGAAAAGTATAAAATACTATAAAATTAAGACAAGTGTTTTTCTTAAAGAAGCTAACTCTATAGAAACTAATCCAAAACAAAAACCAATGGAATGACTATATATTTGGATCATTATGCTGTTAACAACTACAAACAATTTGTAAATAAAAGCATTAGCTTTAAATGCAGTGTAGTAATAACCAACTTTTTATGGAGAACTTGTTATGTTTCAGACACTGTGCTCGCACTTAAAAAATTCTCACTCAATCCTTAACAACAATGCCTCAAGGGGGGGTACTATTATTATTGCTTTTTTTGTGGATGGTGAAAGTTT